GAGACGATGAGGCAAAAATATGAGGATGAAATAGAGAGATACAGTATTATTATCTTCTCTATGATATCACATTATTATGACGAGAAACCTTCATTTCGACAAACGTGAGCATATCTTCGGAATACCTTCATTCGCCTCATTCCCAAAAGTAGAGCGCCAGACAATTCATGGCGGGTATTTTTCAGCTAAACAAAAATACACCCCTGAAAATTTGTGCTCATCTCTGGAAGCATTACAATTCCCTGCTGTCAATGTATCTCTCCAAATACAGCGCGTGTGATGTGAAAAAATGCACGATAAAATGCTAAATTCTGAACATTGTCACTCAAATAATGCCAAGAAGTGTAAGTCGGCTCTGTTCTCAAAATTGTCTCTTGAGCATCATTTGAAATTTGCCTCGTGTTGGAACTTTCGCAGGGAAAGCCCGGAAAATCCCTCCCTTGGCAGTAATATTTCCTTCAATGTGCTCCCCTTTTCATTTGAACGACTTGAGCATCTCAATTCATTTCCTCATCTCGTCACTGTACGTCTTCGCTCGCTCCTTTGGCAAATCATCACATTTGAATGGATAAAATCTGCAAAGAGATTCGCCCTCTATTCCAACAATCGCACACACGCACCGCATCGAGCGGAACTCCGAGACAGCGCGGAAAAAAGACCTTCACTGCGAAAAATTCGTGAATCCAATGCAAATACTCCTGATTTCTGGGGTTTTTAGGTTCAGGTTTTATGCAATTTCAATATATTGGTTTAAAGAAATCTTTAGATGGTTTGTTTTTACATAGAAACTGAACTTTGAAATGCACTTCAAGCAAGCACAGCAATTTCGTAATAAAATAAACTCGATTTCAGAACTCAAGTTTCACTCAACTCAATTTAAAGTTCTGTCCGGAGGTGAGTAAGATATTTCTACTGGAATCTTATAACGTCTTTTTTCTAATCTTCTCTCTTTATTTACCGACTGGAATCATGTCTAAATTTTTCTCTCCACCGAAATAATTTTTACAGCAATTCCAGTCAGTTTTTTCTCAGTGTTGCAGCGTGCAAAAAGCCTTTATTTAAGAATACCGAAAATGTTTTAAAAGCCTCCGAAGATTGAGGGTTAAAACGGATGCCATTGCGACCCTTTTACCCCTGAATTCGCCTCTCCTTTCCGCAACCCAGCATCGTTTCTCTGACCTATTGAATTTTATTGCGGCTACACTTTATGTTCATAAGTTTTTAACTCACTAAAATAGACATGACGAAATAAATTATCTGCTCCACGTGCGTGAGGGCGAAGCATCGGTGGGATTTCCGGCGCTCAGAGGCCTTCGGGGCCCAAAGTGATGTCATTAGGATGGGAAATAAAACGCTTGCAATCACTAAGGACGTGCCACAGCCACCCTCTTGTCTATCAAGACCACCATCTTTTGCGAAAAATTTAACACAAAGTGTCGCACAGTTGTATTCTTTCCCTCTTTTCCTCCCCCGACTTTGCCTCGCTTCCTTTTTATCATACAGTCAAATCCATATCCACCCTCAATTCGCCCCACCAGAAAGAGAGATAACAAATTTTTCACAGTCCAAGAAGTGGATTTCCATCCTCACCCCACACCCCAAAGCCTTCCCATCTCGGGAGCAAATCAATACGATATCACAGGGAGAGAGAAGGACAGCAGAAAGAGGAAGAAACCAATAAATAAAATTTCCCTTCCACATCCTCTTCTCAAACCCACTGTCATATTCCATATGAGAGCTTCTATTTATAGTTTAAAATCAACTCCCACACTTACACTAACCTTTCCCATTTTCCACCTTTGCCATCTTCGCCCTCATGATGATGTAAACTCCTAAACGGTGCACTAAATTGACGCTGTTTGTGTGCTTAAATAAAAGCAACCGTCAGTTAATTAACCACTAACCGCCACGCAAGACATTTGATATCGCTGTTTTTTCTCCTGTTAATATAAACCCTAAAATAGGGCAGAGGAATGCCGTTTTAGCCCAATTTTTACCTATTTTTCATTAGAGAAATTAAAAAATTAATTCTTCTTTGAATAAAACAAGCATTTGCATTCAACTGCAACTACAATTTTACATCTCAGTCAGGCTGTTTATTGAGTGAAATAAACGTTCAATATTAATTTTCATTTATGAAAAAATACACTCTGCATATTAAAAACAGGATGACAAATAAACAACAATACGGCTCTCGTGCAATACAAAGCATTCAATATTCATCTCCATCGCGCTCCACCCTCCCCTAAGCGCCTCCTGCGGAATTCTCAATTGAAAACATTCAGCAGGTGAGCTCATTGTTGTGAGCGAAATGGCATCATTGATTTTTCCCCACTCTGTGACGCCCTTTCGGCTTCCTGGCAACGTTTTCGCGACCTCTCCAAAGTTCCTCTGCGCCTTCATTAATATTCCGGATGGTATTGTCTTGCAATGCGCTCTCTGTCTCTCCCTCTCGACCCGCACTAAACGAAATAATTAGTATGTTTTCATGGCTTGCGTATTATATGCCTAAATGCGATTTTTATCGCAGGTCCACAAAATATCTTTGGCTCAGCACAAAAGCGCCCATCGCCAGAGTCGCTGTGTGTTGATGAGTTGGAAATAAAGAGATGCGATAAGAAAAAAATCCTCTCAATATGTTTACAACATTTTTTCTCCCTCCTTTTCGTCTTTCTGTTTTTTTTGTGCTCCAGCCATTTCTGCTGAGATTTGAAGACTTGTAATTTGCCTTTAGTATCTTGGGAAGGACTTTTTGGTCAAGTTAATTTGAGAATAAAGTCAATATTGATGTTGTGTTTTGCTTGGGCACAAAAAGCATTGCCAAAAAATACACTTTTCCCCTCGACACACAAGAACAAATAGCCATTGAGTATCGACGCTATTCCTTTCCCAGTGAGACATTCTAAGAATAGAAAGCATCCTCCGTCTTTCATCTTCCTTGCCGTCCTTTTCCCCCCCTCAGTAAATCGATATTCAGGCGACTGATGGGAATTTCAGAGACTTCACACACCATAATTGAACTTAAAGTTCGCTCCACTTGAAAATTCACACATGAAAAGCACACTTTTCCCTATGTTACATTCATTTCCTATCTCTGCTTTCCGTATCGCACATTTTTCGTCTCCCTTCCTCTCTCTCTACCGAATTTTTTACCATCGTCACACGAAGCCTTGCATGTAATTGTGCTTTCATATATTTTCATTTCATTTGCCCAGTGCGCGAATTGAGTCAAATGCCAAATGTTAAATTACACTCTCAATGTACATAATATACACGCTCTCTTTTTTCTCTCTCATCATCTGTTGGAATCCGTGAAAAATATTCACATCGAACAAAAAATACGCTTCAGCACACAAAAGGATGGTAAAATATCAATACTTTCCACTGCATGAGATGAAAATAGACGGCAAAGTGAAAAATTGGTGGATTTCATGACAAAATACACACTTTTGCCCTGACAATCGTTGATAAATTGAGAAATTGCGATGCAAATTCCACCCTCAGCGTCCCAAACTCAATTGACCTTCATTCAATTCACTTCGAGATTGAGCCACGAAAAGACAAATAACATTAAATTGCCACAAATTAGTGTGAGTTGTGACGAGAAAAACTTTTCCATTAATCTCAATTTTTCGGCCAAATTTACTTCCACGAGGAAAAATTCTAATTTCGCCACGCGAAAAGAAAAACTCAATTTGATATTTTCTTCCACAGATACTAAAAATTTATCCCACAAACTTCTGTGGGCGATAAAAAAATGAGCACAAGAGAGAAACTTTCTGGTTAGAATTACACGCAGAAAGCGCTATATTTGAGTGACTCAACTTGTAAATCTTCTCACAAGGGGAAGAAATTCGCCAAAAATATGTACACCACTTATTCAACACTTTATCAGCAGCTGTTGTCACAATTTAGCTCTTCACTGTGCTTGAATTTCATAATCTTCGAATTGATCTTTCCATTTATTTCTGTAAAATTCAAAACATTCATTTGCTATTTTTTCATCCAAAATTTATCTCTTTGATCAAAATCACGCTCTCGTTCCAAAAATGGAGCTCCAAAACTTGATTAAATTGATTTCTTTGCAGTGAACTAATTCCAAGGAATGAATATTGTAAATACTTCTTAATACTTCCGTTGACCTGAACACAATTTCCAACCGCAACATCTTTCCTTGTCTTCCATTCCTTTCGCTACTTTGCATTTGGCCATCCATTTCGCCAGGAAAATCGCGTGACAATTGCCCATAAATGCACTTTAGCCCGTGTCACATTCTTGTATTTCATATTTTTCCGTCTCTGCCAGACAATCGAAGAAGAAGTCAAACATTCAACCACCCCTTTTTCCACTGCTTCAAATACACGGAAAAATTGTGTTGCAAAAATAAACGAGAAATATATATATATAGCACGGAAAAGCAAAAAGGTAGATAAACACTGAAAAATGCACAACTTGACGTTCCCTTGAAGTTGCGCGAGCTTTTGCGTCACTCCAAATGGCATTAAACTGAAAGTAGCATTTTCTCAATCGCGTTCTTCCACACGTTCTCGACACATTTCAATAGGACTTCTTGTAATTGGTGGCAAATGTTGGCTAAATTGGGTCACATTCACACCCACAAAAAGCCTCCATGACCGCAGTCAAAGGGGTAAATAATGTGCCTTCTCTGGTGAATTGTACTCAACTAAAGTGACATCAAAGATAGCTTTAAATTTGAATGCGAGAAAGTCGTATTGAGGCAATTTCTCTCATTCAAAGTCCTCTATGTCCGAGCAAGAATTAAGCAATCACATCTTTCTCAGTCTGTTAAGCATTGTATGTCTGCAGATAAAGCCTCCGATTAGTGCAGATCGGCACAAATATTCACCCCTTAACGCTGACATTAAACTTTCAGCCTCAAGACTCACTCGATTCGTGACATGGGTCCGGAAAATCTACGGCCCGTGTCGAGAGGTTGATACTATTTGCCAGGGGAATTGATTTTCTATCAGCACACTCACCTTCCTCCTGGGACATCACGCTCTCATCCGGCGAGGGCGCCTCCACGGCCACCATATTTGTTTTACGATTCTCCTGCAGTCGCGTGAAGAACTCTACAGCATAATCCACCACATCGCCCGGCTGCTCCAAGAGGTAGGCTATTGAGAACTCTAGCAGGACATCACGAAGGCCGTCAGGAACTTGAATCCGTTGCTTCGTTTGGTTAGACATATCGTGAAGTCTGCCAAGAGAGAGTGAGAGGAAACAAGCGCTCAATGCAGGAAAAGCATCTGTGCAAATACATATTATTAAACATTCGCGAGGAATTTCAAGAATATATACACACTGAATATGGAATGTTGAAAATTTACATATAAATTTTCAGCCAAAGTCACGAGGAAAAAAAAAATACGCCAGCATCACCACAAATATTCATACATCTCTGATTACATTCGTCGTCCAGGACAAATGAAAATTCTATTGTGTGACTTTTTCCTCTTTTCTCCCTCGCTGTTTTTTCAGCTGAATGTGTCCCTTTTAATAAAAATTCCATCAGAAGATTAATGTAATTGATGATATTGATGTGCTTTTTCCCGTAATTCCTTTATTTCCACCTTTCCTACTTCCATATTGCCATTGAATTTTATGAATACGCAGAATAATAAACTTTTATGTATGCAGACTTTAAGCCATAAATAGACATGAAAATAGCATTTCAACATTTCACATCTCTATTGTGCTTCCTTCCTTTCTCTCTTTATGCTCAACTCTTCCTTCAAACTCCGTTCGTTAGCAAGCACAACTCTCTAAGTTTGATTTGGCGTCTTCGAAACGAACATCGGAAGTTTATCTGACTACCGATAGTGGCGCCGATTTAGAAAATTCAACTTTATTTGAGCTTTTCCAATTGAACTTCAAGAATAAATTACAGACGAAAATTTAGGCTTAGTTACAATAGAACATAGAAAAGAGTTTTTCTTGTACATCAGAATTATTTAAACGTAAAAATAATAATGACTGAAAGCAGTTGGCATTGATATTTCCAAATTGGCTGTGAAAACTTATGTATATCATAATGTCAATCATTAGCCGATACAAATTGCAATTTGTGCAAATTTATTTCAAAATAAATATTTATAGAATTTTTATATATTGAAACCTGTGCAAATGCACTTCGTTTCCGTTGCGCAGCATTAAATAAATCATAAACCTCGTTGGCAATCATCCATGAAAAAGTGTGATAAAATTTTTACACTAGGCTGTGACGTCATCGCAAATCGGCCATATTGGATAAATCCAGTGCTTTCACTTTTCAGTAAATAAAGAATTGACTCTCAGCGATCCTCGGTCGTCAATTGGAGCAAATTCAATTGATTATGAGTGAAAAGAAGTTATGCAGAGTATGTGAGAAAGTTCTTCGTGCGTTCTGTGCTTCAATTCTCCCTTCTGTGGCGAAAAGGGCGCTTTTGCCGTGGAAGACTCAAGCTCACGTGCCAATTAAAAAGTTATTCCCCTGAAGTTCTCCCTCTTCGCGCGTGAAACATTCGAGACTCCGCACCTCAGCCCCAAATTTGTCCCACACATTCTCAACATCTCTATCTCTCCCTCTCTCTTTTCCCGGCTTTTCCGCCCTCGCGGGAATTGTGAGCTTTATTGCAGAACGGGCGGAAAATATTTGCACAATATGAGGGCGACCCATTGAATTACAACTTAATTGAGGTGCGAGAGCGACAGTCAAGGTGACAATGAGACACAAGAACGTGTATTTCCAGGCATGGCAAAATTTTAATGACACCCTCAGTGCACATTTCTTTCTCCCAGTGAAACATCCAATAAATCGCCAAACATGCGCCATTCTCTCTCTTGGGGAATTCTCACCCAGCGAGTTAACAGAATTAATTGCATTCCAGCGAATAAAACAATTCTCAAGCCGATGAAAATCACCCCTTATTGAACACCCTTCCTAATGAATTAATAATTTGGCATTCATATTTTGTCGCACGGGACAATTTTTTTCCCTCAATGGAATGTCTCCTCTCTCGTTTTTTTCCATCGTCCCCCACTTTTGACAAGCATCGCACTTTTCCATCGAATTGCAAAGCAATTTGGAAAAGGAGGAAAAAGTGCCGAAAAGAAAGAAAATCAACGTGAAATTCATTCAACGTTGCTGGAAGAAATCAATTTCCTTTTCCACCCGTTGGAAGTTCACAAATTTCAAATTGGATGTATTTCCATGCGAAATTGATGTTGAAATGAAATTGTAGAGTTGAATACAAATTGTGCTCTTCTCCACTTATCTGCATCACTTTCAACTCTGTTCTCATTTCCTTCAACTCTTGCCAGACGTCTTGGAAAATCCAACATTTGAGTATCAATTAATCACTTCTGCTTGTTCAAAGAGCGCACACATTTTGATAACAATTGAGCAGCAGAACTCACGAATCTTTTTTTCTCTAATGTGCTCACAAATTGCCAGTGGATCAGTGCCAATGATCGTGAAAACAGAGTGAGTTTGCGGCAAAAGTGATTTAATTGAGTGAAAATTGTGAATTCATCTCTGCAGCATTCCTCCCTTGCACGATCTTCCTTCTAATCTTATCACGCGTCAACTGATATTCCTTCCCAATTCAAATATCACGCTCTCTCCCTCACTCGTCTTCTGACGCGATGCCGCGCTATCAGGCAATAAACAAAGAATTATCTCCATAATATGCGTGTAAAAGCTGTATTACGCGAAAAAAAACGGCGTGTATTCGTGCAGAAAATTGGTTCGTCACGATAGTCTGCCAGAGGCCGCAAACACACAATATTAGTTGAATTTTTGAGCTCTTTGCACGCGGCATTCTCATCTTGGCGGTATTCATTCTACATTTTCCTGCTAATGGCACATCTAAATTCTTGCAAATACTCTCTATGGCTCAACACCCACTTGTTTTTCATCCCCAGTCAATTATTGCCAAGGAATTCTCTCTTTCTTTCGCTCTCAGCGAGAAGACAGGATGCCAGGAATGGAGAACATCCACTTTCATTCGCCATTCGCGCGAGTTTTCTTCTTCAATTTCTCACCGGATCTTCCCTCAAACGCAGGGACGCGAAACCTTTCCACTGAGTCCGAGGCTTTTCTTCATAGCATTTCACCTTTCCAAGAATGACACTATTTATAACTTAAATTCGCTAATAATAGAATTTTACCAAAAAGAACATTTTTACTGACTTTTCATGGCCAATCAAGAAGTTTCCATATTTCGAAGACAAGTTTTACTGCACAATTTGCCTGAACTTCAGTTGAAGATCATCAATCGCACTAGCAAAAAAATCCCACAGCAAATATGAACACGTGACATTTATTGAAAAAAATTACATGTTTGTTCAAATGAAATTGACTTTCATCCTTATTAAATCTCATGTGAATTGCAATTGCCAATCATTGAACATTTTTCAGCCATAAGACACGCAATTCATTTCCTCTCGCAATATAATCGGCCAGTGGTTTTATGGCAAAATGATATTTGCAAAAGTAATATCAATTCAATGGAAATCCATACATTATTTATTGAGCACATCAGCGATTGTCCATTATTATTTATTTTACACCGTATGCAAATCAATTGAGATTGATTAATTTTTCACGACACAACATTTATCACAATTTTCTTCTGATTTGAATTCTAAATGCCACAATTTATATTAGCTTTTATCACATAGAAAAAGCCTGATTATTATAAATATTCCCGGGTGGTTATTTTTAGAAAATCAACATCCTCGAAATAGAGGAAAATGGACATTTTAAAGTGAGTGTATTTCAGGAAATTCACATGTGTGTGTGTGTGGAAATCGCCCACGTTTTTCTGGCCTAATTGGATGAGGAAATACAGCACGCAGACGAATTAATTAGCCATCCCTGACTTAATCTTCTTTTTTCAGAATCAACTCGCATAAAACACACCACTTATTGTTGATACCCACGAAAAGCATTCGTCCCAATAATGGGCTTTCCGTCGAATGAGTACTTCTGCCACGGGCAAATAAAAGTGAATGAAGAGCGAGAGCGAAACAACTAGAACAATTTTCTCTAGTTGCAGAAAAGCTGCTTTCTTTCCCAGAAATAATTCCACTCTTCGCAGTTTTACTACTCGCACAAACAGCATCTAATCCTTCAATTTCGCAACCTAATTAAGAATCCGCTTCTCTCTCTCATCCCCGGACGACGGAAACGCGTTCGAAGCCACCTTAAGGAAAGGCGGAGCCACGAAAAACAAGATCCCCTGGCAAATAGGCCTATTTGCAGCAATGTGTCCTTGCTAAATATTCAGGAAAACGGATGTCCTTTCCTTCTATTAATCCTCTAATGATATTCAAATGAACTCTCGTTGAATTCTTATAAATTCATCCGTTTTTGGATCATGTTTTACACATTCTAAGTTTCAAGGATGCTTAAGAAATTGCTCAAGACTTGATCTGAAGCTCCTAAACTTTCATTTTTTGCTTCTTTTATCGATGACATCTTGTATGTGAATTTATATGCTAAAAGGTAAACTGAGGAATTTGTGTGTTTTCAACAGCAGTACAAAAAAATGCCAAAGAGTATTTTTCTGAACACTGATCACTCTTCTTCTTGCGACTATATTGAGGGTCTTTTTATGAAAGATCATTAAATTCTTCAGTTTTCGAGATTATTTTGGGATCGAAATCGCCCCAATTTCCCCTAATAAAAGTCCACCTTTTCCTCTGATTGGCCACAGAGGGGAAAAAAGAGCGAAAAATATCATTTTATCAGCGAGATATAAAACAATAAATTTACATTTTGATAAAATGTGTGGTGTTTGCACACATTGTGCCTGCAAGTTAGGTAATAATTTGCTTGAATTAGTCAACTCATGATATACAGCACGGCAATATTTATCAGCCTTCAACATCCAGCTTCTAATCCTAAATCCATAGCTTAATCACAGACTTAACCAACACTTTCGCAGATTGGCGCACTTTCTGTGCTTCTCCGAAGTGTGTTATTCCGTGCTGATTGCAGAGTTGATTGCTTGATATTCTTCAAATGCAATAAAGATAGCGATTATCAGCAAGGATTTGCCGAGCGGTCAATGAATTTTTTTCACGCACAAGTTCAGTGTTGCAACAATTGCAATGAGTGCAATTGTGAATTGAGGCTAATCTTCTCTCTCCCTCTTCAGGCGCGCTTTAATTAGTTTGTCACGGCGGAGGCGGAAAATCAAGATAAGAAAAGCTCATTTGCGGCTGCAAGTCGAGTGCAAGAGTCGTAAAACGGCCGCCGCGGGGGCGGATTTTTCCATATGTTCGATTTTTCCGGGGCGCACAAGGTGAAAAGTCGCCCCGGTGCGGATTTTCCGGGCCTCTTCACCTGGGGTGTGCGACAGTCTGGGGTGGAGTCCTGGGAAGTGTCCGGGGGTGAGCGAAGGGCTTTTCCGCGGGCGCCCGCAAAGCCATTGATTTTTCCCTTTAACACTCACCACTCTCTCGTGTGGAAATGCTGCACTTTTCCTCCCAATGTCGCGCGCTCTCCGGCCAGTGAATTCGTCTGGAGACAGGTGCTCTTTTCTCCTTCCTTCACGCGCGACGAGCCACAAAAGAAGAGAGCACGAAGAAGGTATTTTTCGATGGCGCTAAAGAGGCCCTATTTCTCCACAATTCCCTCTGGTTCACACACTCGGCACTCGCTCACACATCACTCGAGCAAATTTCACGGGACTGTAATTCAATTATCGAGCTATTTCCACTGTTTTTCCATTGAACTCCAATGCACTCAACGCACAATCCACTCACGTCTTCCCCGAAACAAAATGGTGGCACACGCCGAGAGCTCTTCGAGTGGCTCTTCGCGAGGCCTATTCAACCCCCCACCATCTCACCTCGACTGACACTTTCTCACCACTCCATGTTGCTCAGTGTTGCTCAAGGGCCAGAGATCTGGGCGGCTGTCAGTGCAAGAAGTAAACAACGCGGCGTGGCTTCAGAACGAACAATCCCCTGAAAAACACCGCGAAATTCCGCGAATATGTATGAAGAAGAGACCAAAGCGATGCGTGAGAGTGATTCGCATCCTGTTTACCTTCAGTTGGCGCTACTGTCGCAGTTCTTCGATGAGAATCTCGACGGCGAGACGCTGACGGAGATTCTCTCTCAGGAGAACGCTTCCGCCAACTTCCTGTCCCTGCCGCTCGTCAAAAGGGTCAAGAATGATCCAGCCTGCGTCTCTCTCCTCCTGGAGATGTGCTCAGAGATGAGGAACAACCGGAATTACGTGCACTTCGAGCGTTCAGAAGGGGAAAGGAGCGAGAGAGAAATATGCACGGTTTCCTGGGAGAAATTGCTGAAGAAGATCCACAAGAACTCCTACCTGACCTTCATTCAGTGCCTCTCGAGTCTGCTGGAAGTGGATTTGTTGGATAAAACCTCCCGGAAGCTCGCCATCCTCAGTGCGGACTGCTTCGTGCTGACTTTGGTCATTCCGGGAGCGAAAAGATGCGAAGTTTTCGATGAGACTCTGGTTCATGCCATCGCCAGCTTTCCCAAACACTTGGAATCCGGGAGTCTGGACAAACACGATGCGACTGAGTTTAAGATATCACTGCTGACGCTGCTGGAAGACCTGCAATTCCTCTTCAAGCACGTCTCTCTGGAGGAATTCGAGGATCGCCGGACATCCATTTGCATCTCCATGAAGAATATGATCTTGTTCTACTATCAGAACGGCTATAAGAACACAAGTGAGTATTGTGAGAGCGTTTTGCGAGCTTTTTCTCATCGGTTTTCTTTACTTTTTAGCCGATTGCAGCCTCACAAGGAAGGCTTATGAAGTTCTTCGAGATCTCTGTTGTCCTCTCCATGGCGACATCACGAAAAACCTCTCCAAAATCTTCTCCTTGACCAGCATTCTGCACAATCACGCGCCCTCGGGTGTCAGGAGTGCGCTGGAGAAGGATCTTCTGCACGTGGACAACATTTCTGGCTTCTTCATTTATCTGCTCGAGCAATTCCCAACAAACACCGCTGAAGTGCTCACGAACTTCATCAAGTCCACTCTCTCCAACCCAGAGGAGAACATCCGCGCTGAGCAGTACAGCGCAACGCTGGAAATAGCGCTGAAGTATGAGAAAGCGATCTTCGAGAAGTGCAACATCTCAATTGTTCCATATTTGGAAGCGATTGTCTTCAGTGAGGATGCAAATCAGCGCGCGAATGGCACGGATTTCCTCACCAGAATCGCTCTGATGGATTACCAGGTGAACTGGAGTGTGTTTCAGGCGGAAGAGGACAAGACACTGCGGGAAATTCGCATATTAAAACTACTCTTGATGAAGACAATCGATGTGAACAACAACGTGAAGATGAAGGCGCTTTCTGGGCTCACGAAGATCTTCGCTGGAGGGAATAGGAATATTAGGAAGATCATTAGGATGCTGTTCAAGCATCCCAAAGACGAGGAGGAAGAAATGTGTGGGATTGACGAGCTCGAGGAAGTCTCTGTCGAGTTCCCGAATTATCTTTATCACCTGCTGAGTAACAATTTGGCGCACGTGCGAAAGAATGCACTGGGATTGCTGGAGAATCTCGTGGCGTGGAATGAGAAGCTGCTGGACAATGAGGCGTTCTTCGACGAGATGTCACGATTGCTGGAGGACAGCTCTTCGCTGGTCAGGAGACAGATTGTAACCACACTCAGCGCACTCATGAAGGCGTTTCCACAGAAGGAGTCGATGATCAAGGGCTGGACACACTGTATTCTTCGGCTTATGCGCGACAACGACGCGAAGATTGTGGAGGCAGCGATGGAGAGCCTGAAAGTGGTGATCTTCGACAACATCGAGCGGCACGAGGACTCGTCCACGAGTGCCGCGCAGATGCCCTGGATCACACTGCGCACGATGATGCAGCAAGAGCACCGCGGAGTGTTGCGCAGCGCCATGGATTCCTGGATTCGCAACAGCATCGTGACGCAGAAGACACTCGCGATCATTGAGAGTCACACGAGCACGGAGAACGCCACGGAGGCGTGGCTGTTACTGTCGCTGGTGGCCGGGAAGATGCACAGCAAGAATCCCGACATGGTCGTGACTGTGTTCATAAATGCACTGCAGGACGATTGTCCGGAGAATCTGGTGAATCAGCATTTCATGCTGGAGATCATTCATGCCTGGATGACGCACTTCAGCCGCGCCACGCTCAACAATCTCTACATCGAGATCCAGAAGCGTCTGACGGAGGGAAATCTGCCCACGTCGCTCATCTCGCCGCTGTACAACGTGTGCCTGAAGCTGCGCCAGGCGGCCGAGATGGAGCACGATCGGGAGTGGATTATCACGCTGAACGCCATCGCGGAGGACTTCATCTGGACGGAGAGGCGCCAGCTGACCAGCGGCGGCTGGGAGATCGACCGGAAGATGATCAACTTCCTGTACATCTACTCAGAGACGAGCGTGGACTTGAGCCAGAAGCCGCGCCAGCGCATCCTTCAGCTCTTCTACCAACTCCTGCGCGAGAGCAGGGTGATCCAGGCGTCGAATCCCGCCAAGTGCTCAACTTTGGTCATCACCGTCACGCGCCTGGCCATCAGGGATTCCGACATCGCGGCCGAAGTGCTGCCGGAGCTCGGGAAGCTGCTGCGGAGTACGCAGCACAGGAATCTCGCCTGCAACATCATCGTCTCCCTGACGGACATGTGCAAGAAGTAAGTTGTCTTCTGCCCACACCCTGAATCCTCCTAAATTCCGCCCTCTTCCAGGCACACGACGCTCGCGGAGCCAATTATGCAGGAAGTCGTGACGAAGCTGAGAGCGTCCGTGAGCGCGGTGCGCTACAAAGCACTGGCGGCGCTCACGAGTCTCGTGATGCAGGACTACATCAAGATGCGCGGCAGGCTGCTGATCAACATCCTGGCCACGATCGTGGATCCCTGCAGGCCGATCGCTAGGGCGGCGGCTGAGATGGTGCTGAAGTACGTGGAGGAGAAAAACAAACTTCTGCTGCAGACGAGCTTACTGGAAGTGATTTACGTCTACAATGGCTACATGGTGAGTCGTTTTCTGTTGTAGTTGGGTAAATTTAAACAGCAATTTTAAAACAGAATCAGAATATTGAAGTTAATTGAAATTCTAGCAAGAATATCGTGTCTGAAAACAAGTCAAAAATCACACTCTTGCTTTTCAGTACGAGAAATTCGAGATCTGCAGCTCTGCAGAGTTGGACAACGAAGTGTGTCCACTTCAAGGCAAGACAAAGCGTCCCCTCAGACTTCTGCTGTACAGATTCTTCCTTCAGAATCTCTCTGATCTGCAGTTGCTCATGTTCCTCAAAAACGTGGCGTCCATTCAGGAGAAAATCCACAAAGAAGTGCTGATCAAGACGCCAGAAAGCATCGCTGCGCTCGAGGATTTGCTAGATGTATTCATGAGGATATGCGAATTCAAGTCCTGGACAATGCTGAAGAGTGCCGGAAAGAGTGGTGCTCAGGATGACGATGAATTGGCACAAGAGGAGGTGAATTTGGTGGCGCCTGTGGCGAATGCTGAGGAAGGAGTGGTGGAAAGTGATGCTGGAAGCCTTAAGCAAGCTGTGCCGGTGCTGGACAAAATGGTGGCGATCCTGCCGAAGTTCGTGGCCACAGTTGAGGCCTTCGATGGGAGCTTGAAGGGCAGTTTGAGTGGCTTCTGCGAAGCTGTGTGTGACAATTTCAAGTCATTCGTGGAATACGCACAGCCAGAGAAGTTCTGGAAGAAGTATCGCGACACGAAGCGCGCCAAAAAAGCAACTGTGCAGCCGGTGAGGCTGGAGGAAGAGACGGAGGACTTTGATCTGTGAGAGTTTATTGGTCATTGAGACTTAAGCATCTTCCGGCAAATCCCACCCAGAATCGCCACGTGACACACGTGAAGCAGAAGACTGGAGAAGTTCGTGCTTGGATAAGTGTTCCACGTGAGCTCGATGAGCGCCAGCAGCAGGAACTTGACGCTCGTGCGGAAGTCCGTGCTCCAGACTAGGTGAGGCAGCGTGTGGAAGTACCAGATATAGAACTGGTAGTGAAGGCTCCGCGAGAAAACCATGCCGATGAAGTTGCAGAGGAAGATTGGTAGCAGAGCGAGCTGAGAGCACTTGTCGAAGTGGATGGAGTACTTCTCCTCCTCCTTCTCCTCCACAGGTGGTGCGCTTGAGTTCATCTTCAGCCCCTTCTCGAAGGAGTTGAGGAATTTCTCCTGATCCGGCGTCAGCTTCTCTTCCTCCTCCTGGACATTCTTCCTCTTGCGACGCTTCTCGCGCTTCTGCGCCTCCACTTCGGCATTCTTGGCGTCGATCTGTGGCTGAAGCTGTGCCTGGAGTTGACGCAGACGACAGTAGTTCTGCAGGAAGCGGAAGGACGGCCGAGCAATGATGAGCAGGAAGATTATGTGGCCCAGAAGCAATGCCACGTGAAAGTATCGATTGACGAAGATCTCTTCGGGCAGGAAGCGATAGTTCACTGTCCATTTGTGCTCAAAGACACGTCCCAGGTCAAAGCTGCCCTTGATGTACTCGACTGGATAAGTCAGGAGGAATGGCGCTCCGAGGATGAGTTGAATCGCAGCGCAAATCGCCAATTGCACAACTGTTTTCACATATCCGAGATTTGTGATGTAGAGAAGGAGGATTGCCGGTGCGAACAAGAGGACGTTCATCTTCACGGACACGCCGAGGCTGAGGAAGACGCTGCCCAGAGTCCACTTGGCGTCCAGGAAGCAATTGAGGGCGGTGTAGAGGAAGAGAATGGCCACAGGATCGTTGAACAGGCGCAGGACGTAGATCGAGTGGATCCTGTAGGACGTGAAGGTAGTGATGAGGAGGACGTATGGAGGCACTTTCCGGGACTTTGAGTAGAGTCTCAGCACCAGGAACATCTGCAGCAAGTAGATGCCGATGAAGATGAACTGTGCCAGGCGAATATTCCTCCCGAAGCCGGTGAGGAAGTACAGCAGGCTGTAGATGTAGAGGAAGCCCGCGGGATATACCAAAGGACCTGTGTCACCTATAAATAGCCAACCCGGAATCATCTCTGGTCTATTTATAACTCTGCTCTCCGGGAAACTCACCGCGAAGCATGGCGTAATTCAGCGTGCCGTTGAGGAATCCCTCGCACTCCTGCATGTACGCCAGCCAGTCGATCTCCGTGTAGGACACTCGCAGCACCACCAGCGCGTTCAGCAGGAGCTCCGCCAGCAGAATGGCCCAGGAAACGACCGGCAGCCAGGAAGGGTCGAAAAGCAGGGACTTTGCAAAGGTAATTGACACATATTTCCGCAGAAATTGGGTCACATTGCCTGCTTTGGCGCCCTGGTGGTGAGATTGCTTGAGTTTTCCCATTATTTCCGGGGTTTTGGGGCGCTTTTCTGCCCTCACAAATGCCACATTGTGTGTTTATCCGGCGAACGTCACCAAAACTGAGCAACAGGCCAATCGAGGTTATGTCGATTCGCGCTCAGTATTCGCGCGGGCAATTTGAAAGAAAAAACCGCTGGGAATATATAGTTTTCTCATTTTCAATTAATATGGTTTATATTATTTCCCGGGTGTTTGCAGTAGTTTGCAGTGTTTTCAACACACCCTCTTTTGTTGAATAACGCGCTGGAAACATTGTTTTCAGTGCAAATCATGCAAATTGTGTGATTGGCGAGCGCGAGAATGACGTGAATGAATATTTTGACGATAATCACAATTGTCGCGCTGCATTCATCATATAAATAATTGTCTCTTGAGTCTCTTGAGATAATTCGTGGTGAATTAAAAGCAAATGTGTTTAATGGCATAAATTTAGATAAAGAATTAAAAACACACAATAATGGCGTGTGTGTGTTGGTGAAACTCTGGTTTTTGCTTGTGTTCACCTACATTTACATGCTAGGCTAGACTAATACAAAACAACGCGCTTCTTGCGGGTTATTTTTTCCGCTCTCGCGCGATGGTTGATGGCAATTTGATGCCAGAGAGAGAGTGACTAAAATAAAAGACGTAGCGATAATATATCGCCCAATTGGTGAATCTCGCGGACGATCCTCCAAATTCTTGGCAATGATCGCGCGCGATCACGTCGATTTCTGCATAATTTCTCATGCATAATCATGATTTTATCGTGATGTTATGTTTTTTTTTCTTCTCCTCCTCCTTATACGAACGAAAAAAATAACACCATCGATTTTGGGGGACAAAAGTGTGCCTTCTTTTCCTGATGCGATGGCAAAAATGAGAACCGTTGGACGTATCTTTTGGAGCGTTTGGTGCTCAAAAGTTCTTTCTTTTTCTTTCGGTTGTGCAATTTGAAATGCCATGTCACGTATTTTGATACATAAATATCTCTCGCGCGAAGCCCACAATATCACAAGTGCGGTGCACATTTGAGAGCAATTGCAGCAATTCCAAGTGGGAAGATGCTTGAGATGCTTCTCTGGGTGCGGCAATGTCGATCGCGCGCTTGTTCTTCGCTCGAGAAACATCTGCTTGTGGAGTGACAAATTGATTGCTTCTCTCTGAAGTGTTTGGATCTCAATGGGATGCGAGAGATCAGTGCGAAAGTCCTTCAGCCCGAGCAATTCCTTAAATGTGTAACTCATTTCGATGTGACTTCTTGGGAGAATATCAAATGCCACTCGAGATATAAACAATACACATTCCTTCTTTGGGACTTTTCACATTGGGATGATGACAATTTGTGGCTTTATTGCATCATCTTTTACAGCTTGAGCGCCGAAAAATCATCCACAAATGTGTCATCTTCGCATCTGTTAATCTCGAGGATTTTATAGTGGGATTTTGTGCAGTTTTTCTCACTCACAATTTGCCATTGTGCTAAGAGAAAATGAAGAGAAAGGAGATCTGAAGATGTGTAGGGAAATGCAGGGATTCTTATCACAAGAAATCACATTAAATGCATTTTCGGAAGCCTCTTGGTAGAAAATGTTACCTCCCTTTGTTCTTATATTTATGATAATTAACTCCACGGTTAGAAGTTGGTTAGATATTGGTTATTTTACAGTAAGACGATGTTGAGAAAATTCTGTTGTCTTCAACAGCAGTTGAATTTTGACACAGTTCGATTGGAAACTATTCCAAGAGGTCTTTTTACTCACCATTTTACTAATTTACGATATTTAAACAGCAAAATCGTGCAAATTTCAGGGTAAATAATTGTATTTGAGGAATTTTTATCATATTGGCGAAGAAATTTACGCCTCTTCGACTGCCAATGTTTCTTGAGATGATAAGAAATTGCGGATTTTGTCAAGTGTGCAAATTAGCCCCGCCTTTCCCTGATTGCAACTCATGATATTCGATTAGACTCGTGAAAAATTAACATTTCGTCGTGTGAAAAGGATTGAAATTTATCGACTTTCGAAATGTTTTCAGCCTCTCTTAATGCACTGAGAGAGTAATTTGTATTGTTAGAGATGGAATTGTGCCAAATATTGGTTAATCCAATGGGAAATTGTTATTTTTAACAAATCATCTTGGGTATTCGGAATGGTCAAAACACTTGGATGAAGTTTTGTGATTTGTTCGTGAGATGATGACTTGGAAGTGCAAAAGAGAGAATGAAGAAAAAAAATGCTAGAGTAAATAATAATAATCAGTCTGTGAATTCAAATATTTTTGGGCAAGTCTTATCTCTTTTGGTGGAAGAGGAGAAAAAAAACACATTAAATTTCCATGGATGATGACGACGAGGTCGTTTTGTTTGGCTGCTGGTATCGAAAGCGGACACGAAAGACTTGAAAAATAATTTACATATGTGTCGCTATATTAATATTTATTGTACAATTAAGCAATAACAGGGCTGCAATTACTCAACATTTGTCAAGATAAACACTGGCTGGGAAGAGATCTGCAGAGGGGAGGACATGATTTGGTGAATAGGCTGCTATTTTTTTGCTCTCTCGTGGGCAAAGAATTCCGAAACATTTTACCAAATTGAGGCGCACACTAATTGGAAAGGCGCGAGATGTGTTTGTACAGAAGGAAGAGCAGTCTGGATGCGAGAGACAATGTGATTTGTCATCGCGCGAGTGTCAATAAGTAGTATTAATTTTAATATTCCACAGCACCAATAATAAATTTCACTTGGCCTCTTTGTCTCTCTTCCTCGGGCTTTTTATCACAATCACCTACAAATTGAACTTGTGCAGATAACAATGGGGAATGCAATTTATCTCTGTATAATTGTGTATCGACTGACATTTTTTTCTCTCTGTCCTGAGCTCGCATTGGTTACACAAGAAGTAGACCAACAAAAGAGAATTCAATTGATTTGCTCGCCTAATCACTGTAAGATACTTGACTTTATGTCTTTAATTTGTGTGTAAAGTGATAAAGAATTATCTCGTTTTCCACTTGATTTTATATGTTATCGTCCACAATGGAAAATGACGGAATGCGACCGCGCTCGATTGCTATAGCTGTTCTTCACGGACACTCTGCGTGATCTCATCGCCAGGAGGCTTAACCCTTTGTGTAATATGGAATCAAGAAGTTCAGTCTTGAACAAAGACATTTTTCTGCTCAAGAAGTCATTCTAAAGTTTTCGTTTTAATTGATATTTTGAGAAATAAAGCGAAATCTCAAGATTTTTATGGATCTTGTTTGAGCCATTTTAAGAAATTTGAAGAGTCTTCAAGAATTCAAAATACATCAATATTTTTCCTTTGAACTAATCTTTTTATGAGTCATTTTTCGAGGCAATCGCCATGAGAGGGTTAAGCAAAACCCTTGCTAAGCATTTCCCATTCAAAAAACTCCACCATAAAACACACTTGAACTCATGTGATGGCAAAAAAGTCCACTGATAACCCAAATTCGCGATTACTTCCAGTCGATTCATCTTTTTTTCTGTTGTGCAAATTCTTCCGAACCAGATCCAAGCATTAATTAATATTCAGGTCAGTTAAATATAGGAAGGCAAAGTGGCAGAAATTTATGGGTAAATTTATTTGGTGAAGTTTGTCTCGTTTATTTGTGATCGTGAAAAAGGCTCCAAAATACGGATGATTATGTAACATCTGGGTGTTTACATTGAACCCGTTTGCTTTCGGACCGGGGCGAGAGAAAAAAGTTTATGCTCGAGGTGAAAGAAATGCCCCGAAACAGACTTAAAATAGCCACAACTTTTCGCCAGTCATTTAGCATGACTGTTTTCTGATATGACAATTTAAATAAATGCATCACTGTTTTGACTAATTCTTTTGCGTCAGTGACTTTTTGGCTCATCGTCGAGTGAGTGCGGAAAAAATTCCAGTGGAGCGATTTTTCCAGTTTATCACACTTTAGCTGTTTTCCTCGCATTTCACTCCAAGGCTGCGAAATGCGATAATCCTCTTCATCAGGTTTTGTGGTGCGCATTTCTGTCGAAATTCCTCGGCGGCCTGCAACGCATTGCATTTGTTTACTCAACGCCAAGAGAATGGCTTTTGTACCACAAATGAGTCTTGAGCAGAGAGATAAGATGATGTATGTACATAATTTTCGTATGTACAGCGATTTCTCTCCCGTTCTTTCTCCGTGCCCTCTTTCATTCTGCCAAGCGGGCAAGTGAGAATGCAGCGCTCGATCGTGTGTATTGGGTTGTTTGTTGTTTTCCAGAAGCTCGAGAGCATCGTGAAAATCACTCTGATTTCACTCTGGGCCGCTCGTGTGTATTTGTGCGGTGTTAAAATAATAGTGTTTTATGATAATAATAGGACTTTATTGAATGCTAAATTGTTTTGCGATTGTATAGAATTTGCCTACGAGTGTGTTTTTCTTCCACTTTATGGTTTCACTTACACTCGCGCTCTTGTTGATCGACAAGCTCCCACCGCCCACTCGAAAGCACACCTTAGGCTTCGCTAGCGTCACGAAATGGCCGAGGGTGAAAATTTCACGAAATTTTCACCCCACGCAAACTCTGCATAATTCATGTTCATGTTTTGCACCTTTAGGAATCCAAAATGTTAGATTTTCTTCGGTTGATTGTCTTCATTATGTCATTGTGTATAATTTAATGAAAATCTTGAGCATCTCGAAGTGTTTCGCGTTGAAATTGTAATTCTGCAACGCAGCCAATAAAGTGAGGCTTGAAATTCAATTTTGCCCACATTGGCCACAAAGTGCTTCGGAGTGTTATTGTGGGAAAACTCAACACAATTCGCGAAGCACTTTCTTTGCATAATTTCCTTCAAATTGAGTAAAGAAGAGAATTTGATGGTGTATTTTGTTGGGAAAGTCTTCTCATTCTTTCCCTCCGCTTGGGAATGTTTCTGAAACTTTCGCAAAGTTCCCACGAAAGCAGCGATCCCGCTGCGGATTGTCACCCGTCGGCGATCCCCTGCCGCCGCCTCCGCGGCTCTGCACGCACACAAGGCGCCCGCCGTGTGCCGACCGGTTGGCAAGGCAGTGTGTGTTGCCATGTTCGGGGGAAGCGAGACTCGGCGTGATGCTCGAGCAGTGAAGTGATGTGAGTCGAGTGGATTGTGTGCGCTGGGTGAGTTGCGATGCTCGCGATTTGGACGAGAATCGAGAATGAGTAGCAAGTCGATTGGCGAGAAATAATCATCTCAGAGTTTTCTGTTCTTGATCTCTTACGAATTATATTGTCTCTGTAGTTTATGTGGATTTTCGAGGGGGAGAGAAAGGAATCTTTTGCGAAGAAAAGGGATCTTCGGGAGAGTTGAGAACAAGTGAGTTTGCCGGCTAATCTCTCTTGAGTGGAGTTTTGTGCGGTGATTTTGAGTGACGAATGTTGCGCACATTTCGAATGAAAGTGTCTCGTTGCACACCTTACCGGTTTTTTCTTCCTTCGGTTCTCTGCTCAAATCACGCTGCCGAGTTATCATATCTCGAGTGGCGCGCGTCTTGTTACTGGGCGGCCGGTGAGAGACTCACTGTCGCTAAACGGTCTCAATTTCACTCTTTTCTCCCTTTCTTGAGTGTGATGTGTGGAAATTGGCTCAATTTTCCGCCCCGAAATGCCGTGAGTTTGTTGGCTATTTTTGGCGCAGCGCCTCGTTAAATGATTCCTCAATTGATTGCCGAAGGAAGTGGCTGTTCTTCACAATGATCAAATGATATTGAGTCCCTTTTTGATGCCCTCCTGCGCGCGGTGCGAAGCGCGATGTGCGGTGGGCAAATGTGTGTGACAATTGTAATCGCCACAATTGAAGTTATCTGTTGGCACGTCTTGCGTTTTGTAATTTTATCCACATATTTATTTTATTTTCAACACCCAGTGTCCTTGGCGATGTGTAATAGATGGACGACATTATGAATAATTTATTAATCGGGACCATTGTATTGATAAATAATATTAAAATGACATGTATGTATTGTCCACTTGGCTGAATTCACTTTATGTTGTCGCCAAAGATTGCCTCTCGCGGTGTGAATTTGCACTGTCTCAACGAGTTTCTCCTATTCATAATTGATGAGATATTGCTGTGTGCTTCCTATTCGCAAATTCTGAAGAGTGAGAGAGAGAATTTTGGTATGGCTTTCGATTTGGCGGGGCGAAATTTCGCGAGTCGATTGTGACGTCATGGAAAGTGCCGCAAAAATTCTATTTTTCCATGATAGTCGTGTGAATTTGGGCGAGTAGAGAAAAACACCATCAATTCCTATATGCACATCAGCCACCGCCTGATAAAAGCTCTATCGCAACCGCTGATATTGTGCTTGTTTTGCCGGTTGCGCGCCGTGCAAAATAACATGAGTAATTGTGCTTTAGGGTGTTGAGGAGCATTTCACTGCGTTTATTCGCCTGTTGCTCACCGACAGTGAAGCATCGTGACTTCTTATTCACGCACAATGTGAATGTTGTTTGTCCTGTTGTGAAGGCCCAGAACAGTATAAGGATTGAAAGCAGGTGAATATTGTCGTGATTCTTGGGCAGAAAACGGCGCGCTGATTTGCTAAAATTTTTCATTATCATCCACTTCGACTGCTAATTTCGACTGTTGGTCTCTTTTGTTGCTCATTTGAATGGAAACTTGGCAAATAGACACTCGCGCTCGTCGATTGAATCAGCTGTTTTGTGCCAGAGAGTGCAGAGAAGGCAGAAAAAAAGAAGAAGTGATGAAGAGAGATATTCTGCCCGCGGCGGACGGAAGAAAAGAGGGTGTTAATTCTGCCACATGGTCTGAAATAGCGCTCACGTTGTGTTGCATCTCGAATTAATTAAATTCATAGAATTCGACCAATGCGAACAATCGGTATTTGTCTCCCATGTTGATTCAGCTGCTCTTTTTCAAGCCACCACATAATTAGAAATAGAAATTGGATGACACACGGCATGGCAAATGCAGCACATCCACAGACTGCTTGGCTCCCAGAAATACAGCTTCGAGAAGCTCTTACGTAACTCTCCTTCGCCAGAATGCACAGTGTGCAGAAAAAGCCGGGATCGGAATGCGAAGAGAGGGATTTCTGGTGTGTTTAGCAAGTTTTTTTGCAGAAATGTGAAGGGAGAGCCTCGTTTTAGGGGGTGTTTTTAGACAAAAAAAATCATAAAAGTCTTTTGGAATGCAGAAATGTAGAAAGTAATGTCTTGCGCACAATGTGATACTATAAAAATGGCACCGAATCATAAATTAATTTAAATTATGGGTGACAGAGTTTTGTACAATTATTTGGACACGATTTGAGGAAAATATTTTATTATGACATCAAGAATAGGAAGGAAGTTCTCAAGATTCTTATTCAAATTTGTGAGATAAGATAAGTTTTAGGCTCTGTTTTTGGCGTAAAAGACTTACAAAAGCACAGAGAGAAAAAAGTGTATATATTTATGGGAAAGTCAGACTTCTGAGTCAATTTAGAAATTTTCAGTCCGATTCTGTAGAACTTCAAAACTGTCCCTGAAGTGTGAGATTAATTGAAATAATCGCCTTAATCACATAGCCTATAAAGATGTGCGAAAGAACGGACTTTTGGCCACGAATGGCGCATTGCTGGCCCTCAACACATCATCACCCACTGAATGGTGTATATTTCATGGAATTCGATGGTGCGAAGAGTGTAAAATATGACTGATATTATTTATTTTGGTTGGATGAGAGGCACGAAGATGAGGAGAAAAGGAGGTCACACCATTTGTCCTTTCGCGCAGCTCTTTTTCTCACTCAACGCCATATGAAATATTGTATAAATTCTCTCGCGCCCGCCCTTATCAATTGGCCGAGTGTTTTCTATGGATGTTGATTGTAATTTTAGAAGTCCATATTGCAACAATGTTGAGGCACTTTGTGGAGTGCTATTTTCAGTGCTTATTATCAGGAATCTCATGTCAGCAGAAGGCGCGCGATTGTGTGTGTGCGTGCGAGGGAGCTTTTAATACGGATATTTGCAATTCAGTGACATAAAAAGATAATGAATTTTGCAAATATGGCCTCTCAAGTGTATCTGGCTTCTCTCAACATTTGTACACACTTTTGCCTCTCTCGCTGGCGTGCTGATAAAATGTTGTCAAATGCAAAAACAAGGCTTAAGTGTGGAGGATTTATAGATTTTTCTTAATCGACCATTGAGACATTTTCCCCTTGAGGATTTGTCTATTTTTCACACCGCATTATCGCGCTATCATCGCATGATAACACACAGCAGTACAACGCACCTCTTTTGTTGTCTTGCGTGTGTTTTAGGCGCAGGAGAAGAAGAGTCGCTTCAGGGATTTGCGGCATCTTAAGCCTTCCCTTTTCGTGTTTGTTCTATTTTATCCATCGCGCTTCTGAACTTGGATTTTACCGGCCATAAAATCACGGTTGACTCACGGCTTTTGGACTAATTTATGTAATCATGCAAAGAAGACTCGACAAAGAAGGTAAACTGCTGAGGTCGAAGGTGTTTTTAAGGTGTGCAGAGACTATGGCGCTATTCTTCAGTGGAAGCTTCCGTATTTGTCTTTGGAATTAGCACATTTTCCCGTGTCTCTCCGTGCAGAATGCCGCGTGATATGTTCCTCCTGGCGGGCGTTGAGGCGTGCTGCAAACCGTGTGGAAATGTGTACTTTGTTGCTGGAGCTTCTTTTCCGGGCGTCGATTGTGTAGAGCATAATGCACTTTGGTCGAACAGAGAAGGTTGGAACGTGCGCGTTTCTGATAAATGCAAAGTTCATTGGCCTCGTATCATCGTGCGAAGGCGAAAACACAGTGGCTGTGTAAAAATTCCAATTTGTGCCTCTTCGGCTCTCCTTTGCCAATGTTTACAGAGAGACCCAGAAAAATCTTCATGCCACATGTTTAAATATATAATGAAGGAGGGTGAATAGTTGCCTCTTTTGAGCCTCCATATCTCAGTCACTTTTTGTGTTTACTACACAGCCATGACGATGATTTCTAGCTGCGCGCATTCATGGGAGAGCTTTTTGTCGGTCAAGAGATAAACGACAGGGAGAAATTAAGGAAATTGTGGGTGAAATTTATTGGGCGCCCGCTGATTGTTTTTATCATTAATGCTTAGCCGTACTGCGATGATAGGTCGTTGGCCTCATTTTCTCGAGAGATTTCAAGAAGGAAAAATAGCCGTCATGCGTCTTCTCTTTTTTTATCAAACAGCAATTTTTTAATATATCACATTTTTTTCTCTCTCTTAATTCTCTTTTCAGTGAAGTTATAAAGGAGGAAATTGAGGCGCAAGTTGAGAATTTATTGGAAGAACTCTTTAGTGACAAAGAAGTGAAAGAGAGAAATATTGCGGTTGAAAAGTGCTGGCAAGAAGGAGATTTTACAAGAGATTCGCACTCGACGGACGATTTCTACATGTTTTCTATGGTGGAGTGTTACACAGATATGGGACAAATTGGCCAAGACGTGAGTATCTGCATTTTTTCTCCTTCAATCTCTCGCTTTATGTTATAGCTGAAAAGCGGTGTGCACAAGAAGTACACCTATTTTCTATCCACTTTCCTTTTTCACTCACCGCAAAGCCAATATGCAACAAAGTCACTCGAGTGAATTCAATGCAGTGAAACACACGATGAAATTTCATAAATGCCTATCTTGACGCTGAAATCTTCTGCAGTATTTCATTCCCTTGCACTTTGTGCTCAATTGAGAAAAAATGCTAATGGTCCGTCGTCCCTGTAATATATCGCGCCACTCATCTCTCCTGTGGTGCATAGAAAAGTACTGCGCTGCTCTCGAATTTCCAGAAGAACAATTAGAGTAGGGAAAATGACGATTGTTGTCGAAAAATGCCCACAAACGGAGTGCTGAGAAGTCGCGAATGGGCGGGGCAATGAAGTAGGCGGAGTTTCTGATATTTTCTCAAGAATATTCAAAATCTCGTGTCTGCCAAATGTCACACTTATCACTGAACGCAGTTGTATTTCATTCGTTCTCGTCTTTGCTATTCATATCGTCATAAAATGTATGCTAAAGTGCGTGGGTTTGATTTCCATTTTTTTCCTATGCATATAATTATTATAGAATTTATTTTTTTCAATCTCACCAAGTGTGAGTAAACAAGGTAATTAATTGTGGCATTAGAAAATGGTGTGTGATATTGTTGTTTTGCTCTGGCGTGTCACTGAAAAGTATGTGTCTGAGTGTGTGTTCTCATTTTTGAGAAAGAAGAAAATTCTCGGTACGCAAACAATTGCTCGCATTTTCAATGTATGTCTCTCGGCGCTGATGCCGACTAATCCTCTGGGTAAACACTATAAACACACTTTTCGCCTAGTGGCCTCCTTGGTACAATTACCCAAATATGCGAGCCGAAATTTTTCACACGTGTGCGAAGGAAAATTCGCCGAGTCACTGAATCCATGCCGGGTGTTTTTGTGTATTGAAGTGTATTGAGGAGTTGCATAAATTTGTCTTTATTGGTCTTTTCAATTAACGCGCTGGCAAAGTGAAGTTGAGGCACACGAAAAAGGCCGGAGATGATTTAGGATCACATGCAGATGAGATGAAAAAGCGAGTTGTTGTGGAAATATTTTATTCAATTTATTGCCCACGAGTAAATTATGCTTTTTAACGGTATCCAAAGTGATTTGTTGTGGGCTTCTTTCGGTTATGTGAAAAGATACTTTATTGAGGCGATCACTTGACCTTCTGCGGTGTACAAATTTAGCTGGAGTGTCTCTTCCCTTGAGCAGATTACCGAGCGGAGGAGGATTTAATGGGCAAATTCAGTGTTTGTCCATCAATATATTGGCAACAATCAACAAACAGTGGCTGTCATCAGACTCTCCCTATTTTTGCTGGACAAAACACCGCGTGCGAATGTGTGTGTGAATGAGCAGAAGTCATTCCAGCTGATTCGCATAGCGATATGCTAAAATTATTTGATGTTTCAAAGTCATCTCCATAAATTTTCCACTTTATACTCGCAGCTCGGTTACACTTTTAATGCATTAGAGCAGAGCGGGGCGATTCTCTTGCATATTACTGTTGTGAGATTGCTCAACAAGAAGTTTTTTTTCTCATAAAATGAATATTAAATTTGATGGCAAATTAAAACATCATTTTTCATGTTATTCTTAGGCTCAAATTCGAATTAATTTTGGAAGAACAGTTGAAAAGATCTGCGATTTCACTTTCAAATTGTTCTAATTTTTAAACTATCGTGACAAGACATTTTATAGTACTCAGGTTTGTGCACTCTTAGACCTTTGATTGCTTTGTGTCTTAAGTCATCAGTCTTTAACAGGATGGGAAAGCAACGCTGTATGTCAAATTACTCCACTTTCCCCTATAAGATATTCTGCCAGCGCTCTTTTATCTGAAGCAGTTTCTTTGATTCTCAGTCCCTTGGCAAACACAGCATTCCTTATCAATTTGTGGGTGTCCTTGTTGAAAATTTTCCACAAACAGCCAAATAATGAGTGAGGGAAAAAAGCTTTTGGCAAATACTCATCGTCTCGATGTGGATTCCCTTATTTAGAAAACCCGACGCGATGTTATTCAATGTTGCTTCGCGACCAGTATCAAAGACTCTGTGCCACTCTTGGGCTGTTTATCTTATATTTGCTGATTTTATATGGGAGATTTCTGCCTCAGAATTCCATTGAAACTTCACACTGGCTGAAGTGAGACAGAGCGAGGAAATTTATGTCGCAGGATTTAAGAGCGCATAGTCGTTAGAGAGAGGAAAAGGTAAACATGACGATGTGGAGGCACAATTTATATTTATTTGTGTGTATAAAAAATGAAGAAATTTACGTGAAACTTGTTGATATTTTCGCTGGTGTTTTTTGACCTCTCTCGTGAATATTTGTGGAGCATTTAATTACGACAAAGAGCCACAAACATGTTGAATACCATTGACTAAATGCGCGCTCTTTCAACCCAACAAGACTATTTTTATCATATCAACTCATGGTGAGGAAAAAATCCACCTCAACATGTGCAAAGGCATTTTCAGAAAGGCTGTTTTCGCAAGATGATGGCATTTGTTGTGTTCCCCCTGCTCAGAAAGAGATTACTTGTCTCGGTAATTTGTTACTTCCTTTGCGGCCAAGATGGCATAATTAAGTAATTTTACTGAAGGAAATAATCACTAATCTCTTTAAGTTATGGAGTGATTCTAATTTACACGTTCTGCATGAATTCCTTGCAACTGCTCTTGATGCGTAATGTTCAAAACAATCCCAAGGAGTAAACACAATTTTCATTATACCTCTCGCATTTCTCTCGCTGTTGTTGTTCTTTGATAAAGCTGGCAAACAGCGTGAGTGCATGATAAAAGCTATCACAAGAGTCTGTTGTCTGGGGTGGAGAGTGAAAAATCTTTCACTCAATTTACGTCATCGCGTGAAATGATTACGAATTTCGCTGTGAATCAATTGCCCATAAAGATTTAACCGCACACATTGCGATACTGTCCCATGGAAAATCATATTATTATTCGCTCGAGAGATGCGAGGACTCTCACTAACGCACAACATATGTTTTCCTGCTTCTATAAATAAAGGCATTTCATTAAAATTTATTCTTTTACGCAATTTCTTCAATTTCTTACATCACATGTCGTTAAAATCTTCAAATCATCCCAGCGGATGTTTTTTCGCATTGCCTTTGACATATTCTCACGTCGAATTAATCATGCTGCCATAAACTGATTAATCTGCTTAGCATAATTGATTTAGGAGGGAAGAATGCACAAACAATGATCAGCAAAAAATAAGGTTAATACACCTTAATGTGATGCAGAGAAATAAGAAGTGGATAAGAGAAAGCTCTGCTCGGCTTATGGTTTAAGTGGGATTTTAGGAGACAAGTCACAAAATGTGACAGAAATTGTTACAAAATAGTGCTCTTTAGCAAATGAACTCTTTAAGCGCGAATTTTGCTTCTATTTTACGGTTCCATTAAGTAATTTTATTGCTGTGACTTTTTAGAAAGGTTCAAAAAATGGTTTTTTGAAGCAAAATATCTCAGAATGCAATTAAAGGACATTTTGAAAAATGTTGGCTCTGGATTTTAGATTCCTTTGCGCGCTTTGAAAGAAATATTCTCAGATGATTCTCAAAACCATTGAATATTTAAATATTGTATTCATGTAAGCGTTCGAAGCAACATTATGAAACCTATGATTTGCATTCCTCCCAACTCCATTTATTCATATGACTTCATTGATTTTCCTGATCGATCGCAGCGAAGAGTTTTGTGATGTGAAATCCCAGGGCAAGAATTATCAATCGCTTAAAGTGTGCATGTGTGTGTGTGTGTGTGTGAATAAAATTGAGGCTGAAGTGGAGAAAAATCTCATGTTTTCTCGCAATAATACTGTTTTTCTGCTCACTCGAAATCCAATAAACACGAAAGTTGCAGGAGTGAAAGGGTATGAATTTAAATAATTGGCTTCTGATATTCGTGCGTATTTTTATGTGTCATGTTTTTTGGGGGGAAATAAAGTGTCTGTGTGGAAGTTTTGTGAATTTCTCTCGTGAGGGCATTTGAAAGTCTAATGAGTGCACTGAGTGGAGTTTAAGACAAATAAGACAGCACACTTGAGATTGCGAGGAATGGATAAATGGGGCTGAAATATTGGTAAACATCTCAATTACGGGTGAATGGCGATTTTCGTACACTCTCTGAGAAAAGTAATACTGAGGACTTGAGACAGTTATAAATCCAGCCAGAGTTTGTGGGGCAATTTGTATGGAGAGGTGAAGAAAGACTGTGTGTTTGTGTTGATAAGCAAATAGATGAGATAGAGCGAATGAGAAGGAAAAAGAGTTCACAAAATACATAATACTTGAGTCTGACTCAAGTCTACCATGGCAAATACTGAGTGGATTCCCGTCAATCATCAATTATTGTTGGGTGTGCGCGCGAGTGTTGAAGAAGCGCGACAGAAATGCGGTGTGGCAATAAAGAGAAAAAAGAATATATATTGTGAATGTGAAAATTCTGAGAAATCGCCAGTCTTTCCGAAGAAGTGCCATGAATGCAATTACTCATAACTATCGAGGTGATTTGTACGCTCTTTTTTTTCTCTCTCGTTCAATCCAAACCACATGTCTTGTATTAATTCACTGTAAATAAACACACTTGCGGTCAATTGGTGTCTATCTATAGAAACAATATACAGAAGAGTGTGTTTTTTTCTAGCCCCATCAGCTCCGCGATAAGCAATTTTATTTATGTTCTTGTCCATGATTGCCACAAATGGATTGTCTCGGGAGGAGAGATATAGACTCATGAGAGGCCATGCCCAGAATATGTGTCACACGAGCAATATTCGGGCATGAAGAGAGACTATTTTTAGGCCTCCGGCTGTGCTTTATCAGGCAAAGTTGCCATGCAATTGCCATCCCAAAATTGAACAATGGGCTCGCGAGAGTGAGAATAGAGCTCAATTGGGTGGGTTCAATTGAATTAATAAAGTTGGCTAAATGAATTTATTTTTCATCAAAAGCACTAAAAGCTAATTTGTCGATTTTCACTCTCTTCTGGCCAATTGAGTTGTGTCTGCAAGCAATTAAAAAATTGCTCTCAATAAATTGTACAACTTCTCAAGAGTGCTTTGGCCTCTCTTTCACGAGGAAGTGCACGATAGAGGCGCGCGAAGCGTCATGGCAGAGAAGAAGATATGGTGAAAAGTGCAGCAGCTGGGCTTTTTTTCAGGAAGAGGAGAAATTATGATGATTGCACTGAAGGTTCAAGAGCGATCTTTGACTGCATTGATTGTTTTATTTGCCATTGGAATTAATATTAATTCACATTCAGTCCCAACAATATGTGCATGAATAAATGTGTGCGTTCAACAGAGAAAAGCCAGATAATTCAATATTGCCTCGAGCAGTTTCAATTTTATGCCTTTTCTTCTCGCACTCCGCGTGCTTCTTTTTTTTGCTACAAAGAAGTCGAAAGACGCTATCATTAAATTTTATGTGTGTTTGTTTGAGACTATAAATACTACAATTATTATATTTTGTGCTTTAATAATGTCCCTTTTTAACTCTTTTGCGTGAAGTCTCACTTTCTACGCTGTAATCACGTTTCTAGAACACTTGAAGTTCCTTAGGCATCCGCTAGTGGCGCCAGCATTCGCCTAGCACGCGCCATCTTGTGTTTAAACCTTCTTCTTATCATCACTTCCGTATTTCCCATGCGATTTTGACGATTTAGGGCTCAAAGAAGAGATCTCGCGATAGCGAAGTCAGCATAATGACAAAGCTTAGCATAGAGAGTATGATTGTCAGCTGTTTTCAGCGCTGAATTGGCGTGCATGACGATTGTGTGCAGAACAAAGTCTCGGCATTAATTAGTATACATTCGATGCCATGTTGACCCATTCAATATTGTATAGTTATGGAAAAATGTGCAGAGAGGAATTCTTTGGGTAAACATTGATACAATACACTGTGTTTTTTCACTTCTTTTCATAAGTCCCCGTCAAGGCTTCACCTTGAATTTCATCTGTCTCACTGGCATAACATTTTTTCCACTTGATGCCTTTATTTTCAGCACTTCAGAATCTTTTTTTTTTCTCTCGGTGCCCATTTTTTAATTTCCTCCACGTGTCTCGTCTCTTTGTGTGTCACTTTTTTACCCCACTCGAGGCATGGGCTTTCAAAATAATGAAAATGACCTACAATTTGTGGTCAATTCTTGTGGACGAGCGCGCGCTGGTTAAAAATGCTCTATTAAAAGTGCGAAGACGTGCGTTTGTGGCGCCAAAAGACGTGATGATCGTGGCGGCGTGATTTCTTTTTGCCTCCTCTCCAGAACGCTGTAAACACTTGAGGAGAGATCTAGAGTAATCTGAATGGTGAATGAAAATATAATTGATATTCTGCATATTTTATTGACGTGCGTCGTCAATCAAAAAGCCCAAACAAGTGCTTGAAGTTGTTTTCACACAGCATAATACACATTTCTGGCCTCATGGAAATTGCCTTTTCATGGGCGAAAAAGTACTCAATTGAGACACTCCGAAGAGGCAACACACAATAGCGACGATATTCTCGCTATTTGTGTATATTTTTGTTGATTTAGGAATAGATTAAGAATTAAATTTATAGCGTATGCCAAGGTCTACGCTTTTTTTTTCCTACACAAGCGAGAAGAGAGCGAAAAAATACAGCTGAGAGAACTTCCGTCCTTCATTCGACACTCTTGTTGGAATTGTTATTTAATTCGTGGTCTGAGGAATAATTATAAATAATGCTGGAGCCCTTCTTTATTGACTGAGCGGCGCGAGAGAGAGAGAGAGGAAAAAAAGCCACATAGGGAGATACTGTGTGCCACTTTTGAGTGCGTGCGATGTAAATTAGCCGAAAATATCCAACTTCACCTTGATTAAATTGATATGATCTCTCTCGTGTGCCTTCTTGTGTGTCAGGTTGTTCTGAGTGTATACGACTGTTTGGCGGGAATTTATGTACTTCTCCTCTTGTTTACACCGAAAAAACACTCGCGATAGATCACTTTTTACACCGTTTCGGATGATGTCCAACTGCCAGTGGCGGAGTGATTGTAGGTAATTGTTCTCCTGGGGCAGAATTTAACCCACTTCACTTCCTTCCGAGCTTATTTGCTTGATTTTACATATTGAAGCTGTCTTAGGAATCCAAATACAGCAAACTTAGAGCTTCATTTTTTAGCTACACCTCTGATATGTTTGGTGATAAGCCAAGCGTTGAACAGCACGTAGAATATTGACGGGACTTGGAGAAGGAAAAGTGCATAATTTGGCAAAAGTGCGCCTTTCTAGTCATGATCAAAACAACACGTGTTTTCTATTTGTTCTAAGCTCAAAATGATGGCATTTGCAATCAACAACTGACGCACGTGCAAATACGGGAAATTGTTATTTGCTCAATGATTTGATGTGCACATTTGCACCAAATATTCTTAACACAACGTTACATATTTTGAATTTAAAATGAAATCTCATAACTTCGGGTGTGTTTCAGAGAGCCAAAGTGGCAGAGAGAGAGAGAGAGAACAGAAAAAACCTTAATTTACACATTGAGGATGTTTGGGCATCAATAAATGTCGGTGAGATAGTAAAAAGGCCCAAAATAATTTACAACTTTCTTCCGCATGGGGTTTTTCGTCTATATAATGACTTTCTCATCACTTGTTGCACACAGACTGCTCACAGCGCGCCAGCACTTTCAATTGACATGCACATGCGGCCATGTGAGATTTGTTAAAATAACCTCTGGGTGTCGAAACGGGGAGCAGATGACACTTGATTAATTGTGGCAAATCATCAGCTGTGAGCCACTCTATGGCAATGCTATCGCATCAATTTACCCGCTAAATTGGATCAACGGCTTCTGTTTGGGGCGCGCAGAGATCGCTTTTTTGCCCAGCCACTGGACACGCAAATAAGGCATGATTTCATCAGTTCAGCTGGGATTGAGTTTGTCGCGTCTCTTCTGCCAGATGATGAACTAGAATAGTCACTTTGTGCAATTACATCGAGTGCTTGCCAATGAAAGAATCCTTTGACGCGCGCTCACTTTGTATAACAGAGTCAACATTGTTGCACTTTGCAAGATTCTAAGCTGCTGTTGCTGACAAATGGCTAACACTCACGTGGACTTTATGGGCAATATTTTCCTCCAAATAGACTGGTGAAACGACAGATTTTCCCTCCTTTCTCCCAATGGGAATATGTTAATGATCTTTTCCCGCCAAATTCGTGACATTTGACTTGAGATTTATGAGACTGAAAATAGACAATCTGGCTAATGGAAGATGATCTAGAGTCGCTTCCTTGATCGTTAAAATTCCGCCTACAAAATATCAATAACACAGAGCAAGAGAGAGACAATTTGACCAATGTTCGTACACATTCCGTCCACAAATTGAAGAAAAAAAATAGAAGGAGCGTTAGGTACACAATTTCTTTCAATTATCTCTCCCTTGATATTGAGTTAAAGCAGCGCGAAATTTTCCACTGATACTAATCGCTTTCGATATCTCATGAGACTTCTCAAATTTTGAGGTTGCGAAAATGATAAACACTTCTCACAATATTGATATTGGCGAATTTTATCGCAAACAAACAGTAGATCGATTCTCATCGAGACTCACACAAAGGCAGGGAAAGAGACAGTTTATTTGATAATTGCTACGACGGCTGCATGACTCTTCTTCGTATCACTTCTTCTTCTAGTATATACTGCAAAGGTATCCTATGGATAAAATAGACTTGGACCATGTCTCGCAGGTCATCGGCTACCATCCCAGCTACCTGGAGCACTTCCTCAAGACACAGAAGTTCATCCTGTACGCAGATGGTCCCCTGCCATACAACTATCGCAACTATTTGGCCATCATGGTGAGTTTGCAATTGTTTACACTCGCCTAACGTGTTTACAGCTCTTGGACACGATCATATTTTTGCCTTCGCGCCTTTGTTCTGCCACACGTCCAAGAGGAATTTCTCTTCAGTTTACACTGCAATTTCGCGCCAAGTGATTGATCTATGGGGCTGTTTTGGGGGGAGCAGAATAAACCAGATTGCATGAGGTGAATAACTAGTGTACTTTTGAATCGGTGCCGAAATTAGATGAAATGATGAGGAAATTCGGATCAGTTTTGTGTTCAAACTTGAGAATTTCGAAGTAAGATTAAACTTCATTCATGACACTCTTTAGCCCCGCCCATCTGTATGCCACGCCCCTTATCTTGTCCGTTCATGCGTTTCTGCGGTTTTTCAGGCTGCCTCGCGGCACCAGTGCAGATATCTGATAGAGCTGTACGAGCAGGAGTTTCTGGAGCAGGGCGGCGACCGGAAGTGGCTGGAGGGCCTGGAGCACATCCCCGCGAAGCTGCGCGCCATCTACTCGGTGAACAAGATCTTGGCGCACCGGCCGTGGCTGTTGACCACGGATCACATCGAGGCGCTGACGAAGGGCCGCTTCTGCTGGACACTGGCCGAAGTGGTGCACGCCATCGTGATCCTGGCGCACTTCCACTCCCTCTCGTCCTTTGTGTTCTCGTGCGGGCTCACGCAGGAGCTCAGCCAGTCTAGTCAGAGCCGGCGCCAGAGCGGCGTCGGCACGCCGGGCAGCCGATCGCCCACCGAGGAGGTGAAGAGCGTGGATGATCTCATGGCGCGCATGCGGGATCTGTCCAGCAGGAACATCAAGTGCTCGGAGGCGGAGCTCAGCACGCGCTTCAAGACTGTGGAGATGCAGGCGGCGGAGCTGGCGGCCGGCGCGGCGCGGCTCACGGCGGAATTGCCACCGAAAATGTGCCAGTATGTGGAGGACGCGGCCTTCACGTATGTGGACTTCGCCAAGCGCGGAGCCGACATGCCCACCACGTTCCGTGTCCAGGACTACTCCTGGGACGACCACGGATACTCTCTCGTGAATAGGTGAGTTTCGGGCCTTCGTGAGCGAATTTTACAAGCAATTCAATTCAATCGCAGAGCCAAAATCTTCACCCAGAGATTTCTGGACTCAATTTCCAGTTTTTACTTAAAAACCATTGCCGAATTGTCTGTTATGGGATGTTTTTCCCTCGAAGCACCAAGAAAAGACGGTGTAATTCGCAAAGTTCCGTTGAAGGCGATCTTGCTTCTGGGGTCAAAACTTGGGTGATCTTGACTTAAATTCCCATAAATCGCTCACTTTTGGGCCGCTTGGCTGCCGGATGGAGTTGAGGGTCGGGGAATAATGCCGCGCGCTTCCTTGCAGACTCTACAATGACGTCGGCTACTTGCTGGATGCCAAATTCAGGGCCGCGTACAATCTCACGTATTTCACGCTGGCGGGGCGCAGCAATGTGGACACGAGCAAGTTCCGGCGCGCCATCTGGAACTACATCCAGTGCATCTACGGCATCCGCCACGACGACTACGACTACGGCGAGGTGAACCAGCTGCTGGAGAAGTCGCTCAAGATGTTCATCAAGACGGCGTGCTGCTTCCCGGAGCGCATCACGAAGAAGGACTACGATAGTATTCTGCGCGAGCTGCAGCACAGCGAAAAGGTCTGTCTTCGATGGTAGAGTCTGTGGACGCATTTCCTTACGCCTTCTCTCTTATCTCCTTCGCTCTAGGTTCATGTGAATTTGATGATCTTGGAGGCTCGCAATCAGGCGGAATTGCTGTATGCACTGAGAGAAATTATGCGTTACATGACATGATTTCCAACCAATTGTGTGGAGAGAAAGAGACCCGCAGAGATCGCGCCAATCGCGAAGCGCACAAAAACAGATTAATTTCTTTATATTATAATTCGCTCATGAGACGACATGAAGATGCGTCGAGTTACAAAGCGTAGAGTTTATCTTATAAAATTAAAACAAGAACTATATTTTAATGGATTTTCACATCAAAAAAAAAACACACACACATAAAAAAAACACATTGAGTCGTAAGAGTCACAGTTCGAGTGGAAAGAGAAAGAGAAACACAGAATATTTTATGTACAAATTGATAAGAATGCATGACGAGAGGGCGACGTGAGGGGAAGGATGTCTCTTGTGATAAAGATTTTATTCATAAATGAGATGGAAATCAATCGTCTTTCCCAGAAACTTTGTACATGAGAATATTGTTGCATATCTTTATAAGTGGAGTGATTCTTTTTGTGATCTGCTGTGCCAATAAACATTTTAAAATGATTTTATTAAAAACATTTTGCTACCGTCAAGCGTTTCTTTTTCACTTGTTAGAATTCCGCCGGACATTCAACGGTTCGTAACTGAATTTTTGAAATGTGTTTCATGCAACGAAATAATTCAGAAATATGAAACACGCAACTAGTTGCACACAACAGCGTATTTGTATGATTGAATTGCATGAAACATGAAGTTCTTGCGTGAAAATTGCACAGAATATTTTCTATATTGACTGTTTTATTACAGAAACATATGAGATTGATGATTTTATTAGGCATCCTCGGAATTTGGAGAGTTCAACGCTTCAGGAATATTTGCATCCACATCAACACTAAAATCTACGCCGACAAGGAGATCGATTAATTCCACTTCTAAACTTGTTTGCATGTCTAAATCCAAGTCTCCGCCCAAGCCCGTATCAATATCCACGTCCAAGTCTATGCAGAGGAAGAAAGCAATAGGAAACGAATATGGAAAGATTAAGTTACGTACGAGTTTCAACTGTCCTCATCTCGAATCACACTGAAAATGACACTACAACAGCTTAATTAGGAATTCTTACCGTAAGAATTCACCAGAAGGAAGAGCATAGAAACGGCGATAATTGCGTAGGAAAATCTCATGATGATTAATTTCACTTGAAATTTTGCAATCTAATAATATTTGTCACAGAGACATAATATTTGGCAATGAAAACAACTATTCAACTGTAATCAAGAATTAATATTAATAAAAGTATTTTGTGTCTCCAGACTTTGTTGAATTTGTCTGTTGTGAGAAACATTTATCTTTACTTCGCTTCTTCGCTTGTCTTTTATGTAGACATTAACCGAAGATGACTTTCAGATATTATTTGCTCCAAGCGAGGTGTTGACACAGACTTATTTTGCACCTCTGAGACAATTTTTCACAGGATTTTCATCACTCTGATATCATCTAAGTTAATATCTCGTTACTTTTCAAAATATGATTCTTTACTGAAGACGCACTCTTAGTCGATACACTGTGACTTTTGGGTCTTATTCAGCAAAGACACACAAACTCGAAATCATTTATTCCGAATACTAAACAATTTTAATAATGCTGTGAATTCTCAATAACAATTTTCCATATTCATCTTATTGGATTCCCTTGCCAAAAATGACCTGCAAAACACTTGAAGAAATTGAAAACAGACACCGGAGAACAATAAAATTTTGATAAAAACACACCCATTCGCCTGTCGATGGCGAATAACAGGCAAATAAAAATTCCTCTCTGACCATTTGCTGGCTTTTTCGTTGGGGTGCCTCTTCGCCAGTCGCCTCGATGGCCAATAATTTATTTTCCAAACCAGAAATATCCCACCGAGAGGGAATAATAACATTTTATTGCGGTCAATATTCATTTCTTAAAGCTCTCTCTCGGGAGGGTGCTTTTCTTCAGGCATTTCACCGCCGAGGGGAGTTTTTTCTCTCCGTCTTCAAATTGAAAGCAGCTGAAGCTGAATATTTCTGGTAGTTTCACAAGTGAAAGAGTGTCTCTAATCAAATTTTGCTTAATTCCTCTCTTAAATTCACATTTTGCAAGTATTCATGTTTGAAAGTTCCAGCTGGAATTCTCCTCCCTTTCACTCCGCCGCGCCCCTCGATTCGCAGCAAATCCCAGAATCATCAGTGAGAAATTGTCATAGTTGTCCTCTGATGGCTGACTTCACTCCATCCCTCGGCCGGGATTCCTCGGAGGGCGCTGAGCATCAGGAGGATGTCGACGACGTGCTGATTCCGAGGTAAATCGCATTGGATCTGCATTTATTTGAATATTTCAGAGACCGAGGGTGGCTTTCGCCGAAAAGGGGGCCAAAAGTCTCAGGGATTTAGGCGGAAAACTTCGCGCAATGATGCTCAATGGAGTGAAAGGAAAAATCACTTTATTTGTCAGCAGGTGTCTCGATATCTTCTCCCTCGGTTCAGTGATTGATTTCCCTGTGTGTGCGTCCAGGAAGAAGGGAAAAAATCCCATTTGGGAACTTTTAGAGCTAATTATTTCATTTTATGTGGCTTTTCTCGCTTCGTTTGCGCGCCACAATTTTGCCTTTCCCGAGGGAATTCCTCGTGCTCACTAATTTGGCCAGATTTCACCGCCCCAAACCATCCGTGGAGGAGCAATTTGGGGGCTGGAACTGCCACTCGGGGACACTCTAGCGTGCACCGGCTTCGTTTCTGGCCGGCCTCTTGTTATTCCGCTATGGAAATTCCCTCTGACTTGCATAATGTTCTGCAGGAGCCGCCGAAGAGACGAAAGGACTAAAGCAAACAATTCTTTTCAGAGATGTTTTCTTGATAAAGTTTCGGCAAAATTTCCGTTCATGTGGAAATCACAGATAATTGCATTTGGAACTGGTTTACATTAAATTAATCATGATTAGATCGCGGAATTTCGCCTGCGATCACAAGAATTTTGTATTTAACGTTCTATCTTGTTGTATTCGGAGAAGTTGCATTTTTTACGAAATAAACTCAGCGTGCTTAAGTCTTTTTTACATACAATTAATAGGTAAACGATTCTATGGAACTTTATATTACTATTGTTATTATTTATTGATAGAATTCTTCAGTAATTGCAAGAAGAAAATATTTATTTTGGACTGAATTTTCACGCAACCTTTGACTTGAAACTTCGAAAAAAAAACGGTCACTTTCGAAATGAAACACTGTCCAATGTTTCATTTCTTCTGCTAAACCCCCGAATCTAAGGCAAATGTGGAGCTCTAATTGAAAGAATAAGAGCGGCGCTGCAGTGACGGAAAGTAAGAGAAAATGCTCAGGAGTGATTTGTTGGGAGAAACGTAAAAAAGGCTGGATGCTTTTCCTTTTCGCCTCCCCGTCGAGGAGATTTATTTCACTCCACGAAGGGTTATTGCGGAATTTATTGCCTTCTAACTACACTGGCTTTTTTTCCTGTGTCGAGAAAGAATAGTAAAAATGCCACACGAAAAGACTTCAACAGTGTGGAAACTCATGGAAAATTGTACTCTTTTTCCACTTTGACAAACACTCTTCCGCAGCTTTTTCGACATGGCAAAATCCCACATGCGAAAGGCGTGTGTGTGTGTGTGTAATTTGGTGGGAAAATTAGCGAAAGAAGTTTTTGCAAATAGTGGAAAATCTCACATTTTCCCCACATATGCTTCGTCGTTCTTGTCACTGGCGGGAAATTTATGGTTTTCCCACAAGAAATTCTAGTTTGCTGGCTAAGGAAGATTTGTTCGCAGCTCTTTTGGCTCGATTTCAAAATCATTTGCATTCACGCATAAAAAATGTTTGGGATAAAATATTTTTTAATTTAGCCTCAGGATAATTTCCCAAAAAAAATTTTTTCATCGAAGCATTTTCAATGAAAATTTATGCTCGAAGGTAGGAAAAATATTGTGCTTTCCCCATCCCGTAAATATGCACAAAAATACAGCGAGGAAAAGCGGCGCGCGGGGGCGAATTCTGGATTCCATTCGGCATCACGGCTCTGCGATCACGATTATTATCATTAACATATCGTTTGTGGCTGAGATTTGGGGCGGGTTGAGCCTTAATTTTCGCGGGAGAAAGAGCACAGCGACAGCAGGAGGCGGAACATGTCATCCCGATGCTCTCGCACTTGGCATTTGCGCGGCATTCAAATTAACCCGCCGCCCCGCGGGGAATCGTGGGAATTGGGGTGGGAAGCCCCTGTCAAAATACACGCCGTATCATCTTCCATCGAGTATCACCGAATCGCGATAAATGCGTGGGCTTTTTCATGTTTATTAACTTTTCCACTCATTGGAAATTATTTTTTGCCAGCGATTTTTGGGCGGATTTGCTGGAGTGGAATCAAATATGCTGGGGAATGATTTGCAGCAACTTCCACTCAACTTCACCTGCGTGAATTTCGGTGGATAATATTTCCAACTTTAAAAGCATCATGAACTTAGAACCTCTTTAGTGTTGAATACTTCAGCTTCGACCGTTTGGAAATACAAATCAATTGATTCTTTTTATAGTTAATGAAACTGACAGTCTTAATTTTCAAGAGAATTTTAGACAAAATGTAGGCGTTTAATGTTCTGTAGCATATTTAGAAGATTAAATCGAATAATTAGTTCTCATTATATAAATCTTAACATAATATTTGATGAGATATCAAGGTAAAGTTGAAGAGTGTCTTTATTTAAGCCATTCTCGAGTGGAAAGCTGACATTCTTGAGTTGAAAAATTGGCGCTTGAGGAATTCTGCAAGCGGATCTTGAGCTCCTAAGATGGCCAAATGTGCTGGAAGTGGTCAAGCCTCTTGTGGAGATTGGTCAGTTTGCCAGAGGACAATGAATGGCCATCGAGGATGAGACTGTCTCGTGAGAAACCACACCCTTGTTGGCGCGCGAGGGTGGAATCTCTGCTGCTGATCGGCACGAGGGAAGATAAGAAGTGGGTTCAAGTGGTGGGTGGTTTGGCGGCCCCTTCAAGGATGTGTGGCAGAAGCAGCACTAATTTATGACATTTTTACGCTCCGTTTATTTTATTGAGAGCCCAAACGAGTGAGAATAAAAGTCAGAGAATGGAATAAAATGGCGAACACTGGCTCGTCTTCCTCAATTGCTTCTGCCAGGAATTAATCGTCTCGTATGGCGAAATGAGATGAAATCAGTGATTTGTGCGAAATGGCAGTGGAAATTAATTAAGGATATATTCGCTGTATGCGAGGAAAAAGTGTCGTCACGTTTCATTTAGTCACAAATTTATTCCGAAAATTTCTCCTCTATCGCAAAAGAGGACACCATCTTGTGAAGCTCCGTAGAGATAAGATTTATTAATTTTCCCACACTCTGCCAATGTCCTCCTCCAAAAACTTTCCAGCGCTATCGCAATAAAAGTTCGCCCAGAATGGCTAATAACGCCTCTTGTGACCAGCGAGAAAAATCCCAATTTAGCAACTTGCTTTATTGCCACTTATTTTATGACTTTCATGCGGTTTTTGCTTACAAAACAGAGAAAAGAGTTTCGATGGCATCTCATTGAGA